TTTGGGTACCCGAAAGGTTTCCCTTACCGAAAAAGGGTTTAAACCCTTAAGGGGGTAACGGGGGTAACCCGGTAAACCCGTTTTTCCGGGGGTTAAAAATTAAAAACCCCGTTTTCCGGTTTAAAAAATTTAAAACGTTAAACGTTTAAACGGTTTCGGACCTTTTTTTTAAACGTTAAAAAACCGGGGTTTAAAAATTTTTAAAAACGGGGTTTTTACCCCGGGGGGGGTTTAAAAACCGAAACCCCTTAAAAGTTTACCCCCGTTAAAGTTTCCCCGTTTAAACCCGGTTCCCCGTACCCCAAACGTACCCGTTTGGGGAAACCCTTTAACGTAAAAACTTTAAAACTTAACCCCCGAAAGGTTCCCCGTTACCCTTAAACTTTACCCTTAAACCCCCGGGAACCCCGGGTTTTCCCCGGTTTTACCCGTTTTAAACCCTTTTTTAAAACCCCGTTTAACCCGTTTAAACGTTTAACCCGTTTAACCCCTTTAACCCCGTAACCCCGTTAAAGGGTAACCCCTTACCGGAACCCGTACCGAACCGGTAAACCGTTAAACCTTTACGTAAACGTTTACGGGTTACGACTTTCGGTTAACCGTAACCCGAAACCCGTTTAAAAAAAACTTTTTTAAAAAACCGGGTTTCCGGGTTTTCCCCGTTACCCCTTACCCGTTTCCCTTTAACCCGTTCCGGTAACCTAACGGGTTAACCCGAAAAACGGTCCGTTTTAAACGGGTCGGTTTAAAACCTTTTAACCGTTAACGGGGTTTTTTCCGTTTCCTTAACCGACGTTTCCGGTACGTCGAAAACGGGTCCCCCCGGTACCCCGTACCCCCTTTCCCCCCCTTTTAAACCCCAACCCCCTTTTTCCCCCCTTACTTACTACCTAATAAACTTACCCCTGTCCGACCCCGAAACGGTACGGAAGTACGTTAACTCCTAACGGAAGTATTCCGTACCGTTACTAACCGGTACCCGTACCCCTTTCCTTCTACCTACCCTACTTCCTCCCTCGACTAACAAACTTCCTTACGAAACTATCGAACCACCAGTCGTTCTACGGCCCGGGGGGGGGGGGGTTCCTATATGTCTGCATTTCCCCCTTTTATATATACGATTTCAGGATTGGGGACTATTCGTCAAAGACTTTTAACATTTATCATATGGCGCATCTGTCAATAAATGTTCTTTAAACTAAAAATGAAGTCTTTCCTTATTGAAATAACGCAAGCCACTCGTACAGTGTCCATACCGCACTTTGGTACCTTGTTGATGCTGTCTCTGGCTGAGTTGAGAGCAGTTGGTCCAATCTGCACCTCAGAGAAGACGTTGGACTCGGCCACCCACCAGCGCAGCACATCGGCCCCGTATGCTGGCAGACTGGGGTCCTGGAGATGGAGGGACATTGAGAGAAGAAGAGTGCAGGACAAACACCAGGTTGTAAGTAACAAGGCTTATTGTTTAAGTGAATTAATAAAGGATGATATGAAGCTCAGTTCATCAGGGTGTGGTTAAAGTCTCCATTACCTCCCCTCCATTAATGACTTTATCTGGATCCACTACGTTCCCCAGAGACTTGGACATCTTGTCTCCTTTCTCAGTGACAGCAAAACCATGGACCACCAGAGCCCTACACACAAATGCAAAAAAAAGTTAGTTCACTTAGGTTAGTGTAAATGAACATTTTGAAAATGTGATTCTTGGCTATTCATCGCTATTCTTAGTGGTATAGCACATTTGTGTAAATGTAAGTGGCTTTGAATTAGTATTTCTGTGTATAATTTGATTATTGCTACATGCGGTACAATTGTGGCGTACAAGGCGTTGTCGCATATATTTAACACAAGTTCAGTTCATTGGTCATTAGTAGTATAACTTATTGTATTGGCTTCTGTGAAAGCTAGTGTTTTTGGAGCCTGACCCATGCTAGAGCCAAAAGTCACAGTATCTCAACCTCGGCTGCCTCAATGGAACATTCTTTGGCATTTATTCACATTACAAAGTCATTTTATTACATTTCAGTACATTTGTACCCCCACAGGGAGAGGACAGGACACTCACTTGTAAGGAGCCTTGTTCCTGACGGCCACGCTGGTGAGCAGCGAGGACTGGAACCAGCCTCCTATCTGGTCCTTCCCCTCCACATACACATCCGCCCTGCAGTCTGACTCTGCAGGGCGAGAGAAAGAAAATCTGTTACTCCCTTCTACTTAAAAACAAATAAAACAGTAAGTGTTGTCCCAGAGGAGAGAAATGTCTAGAAAAGACAAGAGAGAGCAGCCAGTGTTAGGGGGGGGGGGGGGGGCGAATGCAAAGACCACACTTTAAGGTGACCGTTGCTTAAGACTAGGGAAACATGCCATGTCCAAAACGCCCCTAAATTGCCTGTTTTTATTTCTTTAACTCAAGATTTCATATCTAAACAGTTATCTGACAAACAGGTGTTGCAGCCATGGCATCACAGGCAGAAACAAGTTTGAGCAAACGTCTATTTTGATCCTGAAGGAATCCACATACAAAACAAAGTGCAGAGTTTGAGCCATTCCTGGAAAAAGAAACAAGCTGCCACAAAGAAACAGAGGAGTGGAGAATCATGCTGTCCACTATCCATAAATACTCTTCACAGCACATTCAAATGCTCCATGAAGAGTATTAACTGAGTTGGACTAAATGTCCTTTTTCAGTGTTTAGGTACCACAGTTGTCTTAAGTGACAGGTAAAAGCAGTCTGAGCCCGGGAAACAGAGACAGAGTGTAACAGAGACATGTCAGAGGGAGGCGCTGCAGGCCTGTAGGAGGGGGATCATGTGACCTGGGACCAGAGGTTTGCGGAGCCGAGCGGGGAGCCAGCTGAGACGGGACTCCGCCTCCTCAGAGTCTCCCTCAGACTCCTCTGGAAATAACAACACAACCAGACAACTTTAAAAGGACCACCTTAAGGAGTCATTTGGTCTCGTATCCTATTTCCAAGGACAGAAAAAGAACCTTCTCATCTCAATTACGTCAGAAATATGTGTTATGGGTCCTTAAAAGATAGAGTGGAACCCTTTCTGCTGTAGATAAAAGACATTTATCTTGTTTTCATAGTTATGGAAGCTCCGAGAGGAAAGTGTAACAAATATCAGTTTTGTCTTTTGTGTTTAAAAAAATAATAATTTCATTGTATTATATCTGTGGGGTTGAAAATAAAGACATTTTTCCTTCTCACTGTAACAATACTCAGACAAAAAGTTTCAACAGGTGATTTTTTAAATGTATTTTGTCATTAAAGGTGGGGTAGGTAATTTTGGAGAAACCAGCTCGAGTGTGCTAGAATTTGAAAATATTTGTTACAGAGCCCCTCCTCCAACACACACGAACGTGCACATGACCAATGAGGGCACGAGATAAGTTTGTGCACAGATGGAAGGCTGACAGGCAGGTAGGCCATCCAGTTATTTTAGCCGGGCCGGCTCAGATGATTGGTCGTGCTTTTTACAGTACTAAGGCTTCCACAGATGACATTTTTTTATGTATTTGTTGTCAAAGCACTTNAGATATTCATTGCTATCGGGATGTTAAGAGCATTCCATGGAATATAACAAAAAGTGTTTCTGAAATAAATGACATACCCCACCTTTAAGTGTTTATTGTTGTAACAACAGCCACAATGGTACAAAATTATATTTTGTACCATTTCAAAGACAAAGGTTTAAAAAAATAATCCACCAGACATTTAGTTTCTCACTTGCCTCTCAGGGCCTCAATACATACTGGCACATTTGTGTAATGTAAGTATGATTTGAAGATTTAGGGCAAGATTAAGTTATGGTGGATATCTCAGGCACTGTATCTGCATTATAAATGTGTTCACTGATTTGATTTTCTTCTGTTCTACCAATGTTCAGTTGCAGACACCTGACCCTAGTGTGCTGAGGCTGCACTGCTTTATAATCTAATCTAATAATCCATGTGTGTGCTGCTTCTGCTTACAGTCCGCTTTCTAAAGCAGCTTAAGCAGCGGACAGTGTAAGGAGCTTTCTCTACAATAACACTAATGACAGCTGAGTTGATTAAAGGCGTTTTGCTGTTACCCTTAAATCACCCCAGATGACTGAGGATGAAAACATTGCCATACAATATCAAATTAAATGAATCTACTTGAACATGCAGGACAGATTTAGACGTACCTTCTAGTACTGCGGCCCATGAAGCGCCGCTGTCGAACCAGATGTCCAGGACGTCTTCTCCGCGAACGTAGTCAGTCACTGGACCTGCTTTACTCTGAAGAGACACACAGGGAGAGGCAGAGAATAAAAGGAGATTCATTGCTCACCTAGAGAAAAGCTATGACGACTGATGAAAATATTAATAATGAATAAATGTCAATGTCAATAAAAAATCAACAGCCAAATGCAAAAGGTTTAATGCCGAATGAGAGTCTTCTTTTGTTCAATCAAAATGTATTCAGGGATGTTTGCTTTTTCTTCTGGGCAGTAGAGTGGTGGCCAAAAACATTTTTATATTTGACTTAATTGATTTCAAACAGCTCAAAGTAATTCTTTCTACTCTTGACCAAAAGCCTTTAAAATAACATTAATAATGATATTTTATCATAGTAGAAAGGGATCTGCTTTGATGTATTACTGAGGCTTGTTTATCACAACTCGGCGCTCACTGTATTTTAACCCCCCCCCCACACACACACACACACACACACACACACACACACACTCACCTTCTTGAGCACCTCATCTGGCAGTAAATCCTCAACAGGAAGCTCCCACCAGCAGTCGCTGCCCTTTTCTTTGAACAGCTGAGCTATATGGGTCACTGTGTGTCTGCAGAGACAGGAGGAATGTTCACTTGTAAATAATAATAATACACTTTATTAATACAGCTACGACTTTTTAACAAAAGTTACAAAGTGCTTAACATGGTTTAACCAGATACAAAAAATCAAGATGACATTTATTGGATAAAATGTGACAACTATACCAATACAAAACTGACATGGAAATACCCGAAAGCAATATTTCAAAGGAACATTGTGTGTGTGTGTGTGTGTGTGTGTGTGTGTGTGTGTGTGTGTGTGTGTGTGTGTGTGTGTGTGTGTGTGTGTGTGTGTGTGTGTGTGTGTGTGTGTGTGTGTTACCTTCTAAGGCTATCCCAGGTGGCAGTGTGCTCAGGGGGAACGTGGTATAGATGGATCTGCTCACATGCTCAGGGTTGTACTCCAGCTCTGCCTCTGCCAGGGCCGTTCTAGAGAGGCAGGTAGACCGGGTTACAGAATCAGATATCGTGTTTGGATGTAAAAAAGAAGGCACGCGGCCTCTTCTACACATGCACACTAACTCAGTACCTTGTTGAAGGAGACCAGAAGACCGGTTTGTAGTCTTGGTAGATGAAACCCTGAAGATCAACAAAGGGAAAAGAATTAGACTGAGATGATAACAATTAAAACATCACACAGTATTTCCCTGTCGGTTTTGACAGTTTCTGCCCACCTTGCTGTGCATCTCCTGGAAGACCTTCAGCTGAGCAGCCTCATAGACCCCATCATACGTGTAGTAGCATTGGTCCCAGTCAGCCATCACCCCCCAGCGCTGAAAAGCAGCCTTCTGACGAGCTATGGCCCCCTCCGCAAACTCTCGTGCTAGGGAGGATAGAAACATTAGAGCAGCTGCAGATCCAACAACAGTCATCCGGCTTTCTGTCCGTCTTTACCTTTCTGTCTGATCTCCAGGGGGCCCAAGCCGCTGGTCCCCAACTCCCCAAGAGCCTTCAGCTCGATGGGCAGGCCATGGCAGTCCCACCCTGGGATGTAGTGGACCTGACGCCCCCTCAGCATCTCAAAACGGTTTCGGATATCTTTCAGGATCTGGACACAAACAAGACAGTGAAATTAATTATTACTTTGGCATTGTTTGAGTCATTGCCACCTGAAAGCTGCAACAAACGCAACTAGTAATTATATTTTTGCAGCATTACAGTATGAAATAAGTAAAACATGATATGAGTTATCACCTTATTGAGGGCATGTCCTACATGAGGGTCTCCATTGGCATATGGGGGTCCATCATGTAGGCAGAACTCCTTCTTGGCCTTCCTCTCTCTTTGCCAGGAGTACAAATCTGCAAATCCACACTCCTGCAAAAGTGTAGTTTTCATATTTCACGTGAAAACAAATAAGCATAATTCAAAGGGCGCTACCTGTAAGAGCACCAAACAATGAGTCAAATGCATGCATCCACACGTATAGAGAGGGATAGTAGTGAACCCTAAGTAGTGTAGAGGATTTTGGGACGTAGAGGGTCAGCCTAAATGGTTCGTTGTACCTGCTGAATCTGGAGCTCTCTGTTCAGCAGCTTCTGTCCGGTCAGTTTCATTGGGAAGTCAGTCCGGGGAAGGAGCACTGTGTCTCGGTACAGTCCCTGGGGAGAGCCTGTCTCTGCGGGCTGAGGGCTGCCCTCCCCCGGACTGACAGCCTGACAGCGGCTGGAGCTGAAGGAGAGAGCCCGGTGCAGGAGGCCGCCTCCCCGGTGTGACCTCCGTCCCCATCTCGATAGTGTCTGGCTTACTGCCGAAACCCGGCACAGCAGCATGGAGAGGTGAGGTAGCTCTGTATCCAAGCAAAAAGACAATTAATAACAAGTGTTGTTGTGACAATTTACTGTGCGAATTTATCTATGTGTCTACGTGTTGTCATATTCCGTCCTTCGTCCAATGCTGTGTTTCTTCCGGAAGAAATTAAGGCAAGGACAACTACGGAAAGCCAGTAGGATCAATATAAATCAATCGCATTTAAAACTCAAGTTGGACGGGCGGTCACTGGAATTCAATAAAATATGTAATGGTTTAAATGTGTTCCTATGCAGGAAAATTCACCTTCAAATGTATATTATTAGGAATAGTTCCCGTTACTGCACTTGGGTTTATCGATCCTGTCATTATACTGATCCGTTTGAGTTGTTTTACTTTGAAAGTATGTTTTACCGGAAGTGCACAAGATTGCAATCTTGAGAGTGCTGGCGAGCTTTCACTGCCATCCAGTGGTTACAATTAAAAACTAAAACTCTAGTCTTAAATAACTAAGAAAACGACACTTATTCCTACTATTAGAAATACTTATGCTATTAATACTGGTGGGTGGTTATTTTTTTTTTTTTAAATGTCACCACAACTTTGACTTTGAAAGTATGCTGACAAACAGCAGTCTTTCTCAATTCGACGAAATCACCAAATAAATCAGCCATTATCAATTTGTTTTATTTCAGAGTTGTAGCCTATACATACGTCTGTGCTTGACGCTTAACATATTTTCGACAGCACATGAATGCAGCACGGCCTCGGCTTCAGCAGGTGGCATTGAGTGGACAATGACGTCACCGGGGGTATAAAGCGCGCGGCTGCATCTCCTCTTTCACTCATCCCTTCACCTTCCAAAGGAACTGACCTGATTCGCGAGCCAGACTTCACTCACACTCCACAGCAAGATGAACAAGATGTGTCTAGCTTTCCTCGGAGGTCTCCTGTTGGCTCTCCATCTCATCTCAACACAGGTTAGTTTTGCTCCTCATTTATTTTTTGCTCTGAATTTCAACGTGATATTAGACTACTTTAGTTTTCTAAAAATGTTCTGCACTGAAATGAACAAATTGTGAACAACATCAGTCTCTTCTTCGGCGTCTTGGCAAGCTCTCACATGGTGTTTTTTTTGTTAACGTTTATCTTTTATAAGAGCAACACTTCAGGGAATAGGCCGATTCTAGTGGAAATGGAACCTTTTAATTTAAACTAATCCGGTTTTTTTTAAACTGGAGGATAAGTGTTATGCTTGATAGAATTTCCTGCTTGAATTTAAAATCATGAGCTTATCCGCAAAGCATGGTCACCTTTTTAACCATGTTTGCGCGTACAGACCAATGCCTGCTTTTGATCTGCCTAGTGCGTTTGATCTGCCTCAATGTAGCCTAGTTAAGTTAAGAAAGTATCTGACGTGATCTTATTTTTTGAAGGTGGTGCAGGCCCAGAACTCCACGGTTAACACGACTATGGGCAACTATACTACAATGATGCCCACCACCATCGGCGTGAACACGACACTCAAAAGCGGCTGCGGGTGGACCGCCGCCTCTACGCTGCTGCTGCCGCTGGCTGTGGCCGCTTCCCTCCTCTTCGGGAGGTCCTAAACCGGACTGATGTCGCTCTTCACACTGCCAAGACTGCTGGACTGGGCATTCAACGGTCTCGCAAGAACAGGCCCCCTTTGGATTCTACCAAATACTTTTTTTCTGTCATCGTTGGAGTTTGTTTGACTCTCCGTTACCTTTACGCACCAGCTGGGGACGCGCCCTGCTGCTCTTGGTGTCATGTTCTGTTGTTGGTTGGGACCGTATAAAGAAATCCCCTTTTCAAGAAATAAGGGGATTGGGAAGTTTGTATCACTGTGCTCTTTAATAAGTCGTGTTCCGATGGCCCTAAAGAGATTGTAAACGTTTGTATTGCAAATTCTGGGAAATGTGTATGATTGTAAATGTTTTAGAATCTTCAATTTTGTAAATCCAATAAAGCTTTGAATTGTTATTGACCAGATTATTCTGTTTATTCCTTTGCTGGAGGTATTTCTTTTTTTTTTTATGGCAAATATATAATTGAATTAATCTCCCTACATGTGTGGAAAGTAAATGTTCCGAGCCATTACACTTTAAACAGACCTCTGACGCAGAATAGGTCCACTAAAACTGTATCAGTTGCACATGGGATTATCCAGATTGATTTGTACTTTTATAAAGCCTACTCTTGAGTAGGCTGTAATGTCTCAGTGTTGATGAGGAACAACTTTATTTGTTTTGTCTAGTCATTAAAAACAATTTAGCCCTTTAATTTCTTAATGGCTTTGAGGTGTAGCTATATCTGGTTTAATCTTGAAAGATGAGCTTGCTTTTCAACTTTGTTTACTTTGCTAATGCCTCCCTTCAGACCAAGGTGTTCCTTTTGTATTGGACATGTTATATGGTAGGCCTCTGATTATTCAAACAAGGTCACCTTACAATGGCTAACTTGCCCATGTTCACAGAAATAGATTGGCTAGGATCACAACCCTCCTCCCTTTTTAAAAAGCTTAAAACAGTTTTAGCCAGTTTTCAACTTAAAACTCCAGGTTTGTGAGCCTCCTGTGTAAACGCTGAGAACAGACTTCAGTAAAGTATGAGACCGTTTGTTAAACAGGTTATATTTGCAACTTTATAGGTTTTTTTTTTAAAAGTGTGGTGGCCCCTTTCGCTGGAACAATTGGGCACATTATCATTAAAAGCAGTATTTTATGACTTGAAACAAATGTATCAATTTGCGCAATAGCTTATTTCAAATGTCAGTCATGTACATTTCTATACAGTCAGCCGGCTATATAGATCAACAGTACATATCACTACACAAAGAGGATGTGAGTAAAACCTTTATTGACTTGAGAGGGACGAATAATGAAAAGGTGGTGAGCCAGGCCTCCTTCACCTGGTTCGGGGGTTTTGCCATCAAAGGCCCTCTCTATATGTGAAAGACAGTCTGCTGGAATTCACCTGTTGCTCCCCCCTTCCTCCCTTTACCCCTCCCCCTGCTGTGCATACACCCTGGTCTGTGTGGGAATTGCATCCCACTGTGATCACATGACAATGGCTGTATTGTCCAGCTCATCTTATCTGCTCCGTGGGCCTGCCTCTCATCCCGCCCCCACTTCTTCATCACCTTTTTTTATTCAAGATGTTGATCTCAATCTTGCATATCTCTCAAGCTCATATCAAACATGTACAGGAACCCTGACATAATACTACCAATAGGAGCTGTATCTGAGAAGCCAAATGATCCAAATCATTGTCACTGGACATTTTAGCTTTACTTTACCCTGCCCGCTCCAATACATCCTACTTTGAACTCGTGTGAATAGAGAAGCTCATGGTCTGGAGAATTATTGCCAAACCATTGTTGATGTTTCTGTTTTAAGGCTAGTGGCAAAACTCAAGAAAAGCAACAGCCAAAGCTAAAGAAGGGTCATTTTCCCAAAGATGCAGGGAAAATGTGAACTGTTCCTAAAGGCTGAGGGCGACAAGATAACCGTGATATCTATGTCCTCCTTCACACAGATGCACCCCCTGGCCTAAAACACACTGAGCTTTTCCAGTAGTTGAGAGCATTTTGGACAATGTCATTAAATTAGTGAAATGTAAACTCCAGACAATTTCTGGATTTGACTATCCTAATATTGTCCTGAGTACATTGCTTCAGTTGGTTTTCCCTCAGTCTCTAGTTTATAATCCAAAGAAAAAGAGACCTGACGAAGCACTGGTCACATTCCTGCAGTGTGGCCGTGAAACTTTAATGCTGCTGGAGTGCGGTCAGGTGATCGAGAGAAGAGCTCTCCTTTAGTCGACCGCTAGAGTGTAACCACTTAAGGCCCTCCTCCAGCCACTCCACCCATCTCCTCGGCTCCCTCCCACCTGAAACCTAAGGAGAAACCTGAGTTCAGGCATCTGTGTTTGTTTGCTGGGAGAGAAGGGGGCAGGGAGCACATGATTGAGAGTAAATAAAAAAAGAGAGAGGGATCAGGGAAAGGTGAAGGGCCCTTATCAATGAGTGTACAACCACTCTCACTTGTTCTTTGCTTTTCCCACCAGAAATCTGCTTTTCAAAACCATGACGCTGAAGCCTCTGATAAGTGGATTGACACCAGCCACTAAATGGCCGCTCAGTTTTTTTTACAATTACAACAATGCTTCAGGCTTTAAGAGCAAGGTTTATCCCTCAACATTGATTCAGCAGTCATTGCAAAGTGCTTCTATGGAGTCTAAAACAACAGGCTGGACTTTGTTGCTTATCAATAAGTCAAAGACTATCATGTGCTGGAAACACATATCACTACACAGTCAATGTGGTTTTCCAGAATACTTACAGCACCTCACAGCAAAGGGGGGTTGCTTTGTAGATTCTAATCGTACATTTTATGTGCCTTTTCAAATCGACTGTGGTTGTGGTAGAACTGAAACAAGATTTAAAAAAAAGAAGTCATTTTAGACAGCCCCCCTCCTTTAGGGAAAAAGTAAGTATATTTCAGAATCTAGGCCAGACTGTTTGGTTCAAAAGTTTCCCAAAATTGGTTCAAAAGTTTCCCACATTCTAAATTGTTATAAAAAAATACTTACATTTTTATTAATTTTATACTTTTATTTATTATTAACAAGGTACATATTATATAGTTGGTGTCCGTAAAATGTATAATCATAGTGTTTATACATTTAGGGCAGGAGTGTAAACAAAAACAAAATAATGTGGTGGGTTGACATCATTCACTCACGGAACTATGGGTGGGGGTATTGTTCCGCACGGACATTTTAGTTTAAAGGAACTTCCGTTTTCCGGTCAGTCAATTTCCCCGGGCTTGAGTTTGTTTATATGCTGTTCCATGTTGAATAAAAGACCAGCTTTATATTTGTACACACCGCCTTGGACTCCCGTCTCTCGGAACTTCAATGGCGATCAATATTGAGAAGGAAAATTCAGTTAAATCACTCAAAGAAACCGCTTTTGAGGGGAGGACACTGGAGGGAAAGCTGAGAGTAAAAAATCTTGGTCCTGATCGGCCCGACATCGCCATTAGGCAGGAGTCAAAGGACAGACGTAAGCATTTTCATCGCTGTTTCTCAAGGAGCTGGTTTATCAAAAAGGCTTGGCTAACTGGCTGTAGCGACACCAACACTTTATTTTGCTTCCCCTGCCTCCTTTTCCGGACTTCTAGATCAGACCTAGCATGGACTCAGAAAGGTGTTAATGACTTAAAACACCTATCAGAGAAAGCAAAAAAGCATGAACAAAGTAAAGTCCACATGGAAAATGCCATGCAACTAGCCATGTTTGGAAGAGTAAACATAGCTGTCCAACTCGACGAAGACTACAGGATAGGTATCCGTAAGCATAACGAGGAGGTGGACAAAAACCGGCACATCCTTTCTAAAATAATAGACTGTGTCAAGTTCTGTGGTGCCTTTGAGCTTGCCCTGCGTGGACATGACGAGAGTGAAAGCTCAGAAAATCCTGATATTTTTAGAGGGTTGGTGGATTTTGTTGCATCACTGGATGTGGTTCTAAAAGAGCATCTGCAGACTGCCACTGTGTTTAAGGGAACATCTAAGACAATACAAAATGAGCTCCTTGACTGTATGCTATCAGTTTTGAGAGAGTGCATTTTGGAAGAAATCAGGAGTGCAGACTTTGTCTCCATCCAGGTTGATGAAACAATGGACATTTCCACTCAGTGTCAACTCGTCCTTGTGATCCGTTACATTGACAAAGCCCATGATGTGCAAGAGAGGTTTTTTGAGTTTATATCTCACCAGAGTGCCACAGCTGATTCCATTGCCACCGCGCTTCTGGATAGGTTGAGCTCCATTCTCCCCATTGACCAGAAGAGCAAGCTCATTTCCCAGGCATATGATGGGGCAAGTGTCATGAGAGGAACCACAGGTGGTGTGCAGAAGAAGGTTCAAGACGTCTATGTGAATGCACACTATGTCCACTGCTATGCTCACCAACTAAACCTCATCATGCAGCAGGTGACATCTCACATCACCAGAGTGAGACAGTTCTTCTCTGACCTGGGTGGAATCTCTGGTTTCTTTGCTAGATCTCCCAAGAGAACCAATGTGCTCGATAAAGTGGTGGCCCACAGACTCCCAACAGCATGCACGATGAGGTGGAACTTCCACAGCTGTACTGTGAAGACTGTGTTTGAGCACAAAGATGACCTCCTCCTGTGTTTTGAAACCATCAGGGACTCCGGCGAGTTTGATCCTAACACTACGAGAGAAGCTGGAGGCTTTGTGAGAATACTGGAGGATGATACCTTCCGCTTCTTCCTGGAACTGTTCCATCGCATCATGCCACATGTGGATGTTCTCTACAACCAGCTCCAGAAGCGGACCGTCAACTCAGTCTTTGTTCAGGGAATCATGCAGGAGTTCACGGACAACGTTAAAAACATCAGGTAAATTCATATGTATGTAACATTATTATGTACAATTTCAATTGTTTTACCTGTCAACTAAAGCTATACATTTTCTCTTCAGAGATTCCCTCCCTACTTTCTGTGGAGAACACAGCAGCTGTGCATCTCAGCAGCAGCTGGGCAAGAAACGGCGCACACTGGGCCCAGGTGAACTTCAGATGCTCGCTACAGAGGTGAGATAGAAGCTAAATGTGTGGTCTTTTACAATGTTTTCAATTGTATTAGTGCTGCATTGTACAGAAAAGACATTACGCACCTTAAAGTAGGTCCTTTTTATACATTTTCTAACTTACTAATGCAAGATGAAACTACAGAGGTGAGACAAATGAAGTGTCCCCTTTCATAAATTATTTTAAATCTCTACAAAAAAGGCCTGAGTCCAACAGTTAGAATGAAAAACAAACATAGCTAGATGTGACAAAATGACATGCAGCCTAAGAGACAGTCACACACATCACTTAATCAATTGCAAGTCAAATTTAATTGCAATCTTTGTCATGTCAGTTTAAATAATACAATACACTCACAGTATACAAAACATCAGCAACTAGCGGCCATCATTATCCCACTGGTCAAATTATTTAGTTAGCCCTGGTGCTCAGAAGCTTCTGCATTTGATATGCTTCTCCACTCTTTTATTCAGGTTTTTCCTTTAATTAGTCTTTTGTACAAATCTCAGTTAGGTAAAAACGATATATCCTACCAGTGGTGGTTCTAGACCAATTTGACTGGGGGGGGCCAGGCTGGGGCCAATTATTTTTTGAGAGGGGCACAATAGATGCAGGACGATAAAGACAAAGACAGTATGAAGTAATTGCGCGTAAGAAAACAATGCAATACAGTTATTGGTACACATATTTATTTCAGATACTTATAGTTACAGTTTTTACGCCCTAATGGGTACGACTAGAATGACAAATAACCTTAGTTCCGTCTATTCCGTCAGCCAAGAAATCGTTTAATCATACACTTTTCATTTTCAGGGGGGTCCAAAGTCAGTGTTAAGGGGCACTGGCCCCCCCCTAGAACCACCCTGATACTTAGCAATCTTGTACATAATTTACTATACGATATATACATCCTGAATCTATCAGTATTTACAGCTAAGGTGAGCTAACTTTTAGAGTGGCACTATGGTCATTTGCATGGTTCCTATCAAATGTATGCATTGATCAAATCGTTTTTACAGATTACATTTTGATATGGTACAACTTGATATATATTGTCATATTGACATTTCCATATTGTACTAAATTGGTGCTTTCATTTTTTAGGTTTGTGACACTATCTTGGGCCATACCAAACAGCGGTTCTCCTTCACCAAGCACCTGATCAGTGCTACACTGCTGCAGGGAGACAAATTCCAGCAGTACAACTGCCATTTTCCTGAAGAAGCACTGGACTCCACGATGGAGGCTTACCCACTGCTGAACCAGAGCAAGCTGAAAAACGAACTGTCACTCATCTACAGCAACGATGAGTTCAAGAACTGCAGGGGTGCTGTGGCTCTCTACCAGCTCTTCATGCAGAACAATCTTCAGGACACCTTTTCAGAGACTGTGGCACTGCTGAAGATCCAGATCACCACTCCCATGACCACAGATGAATCTGAGAGGTGCTTCTCAACGCTGAAGAGAATCAAGACCTTCCTCAGGAACACAATGTCCCAGGATCGTCTCAATGCCTTGGCCATGCTTTCTATGGAGAGAAAACTTGTGAAAGACATCCCTGACTTCAACCACAGAGTCATGGACAAATTTGCGTCCCTCAAGGGCAAAATTTATGTACAGAAAATAGGTGCAGTTTTGGTATAGTCCCACCTGGAAAAAGATGCAACAGCCGATGTTCAGTATCTTTGAGTGAAAAGTCTCGTCATCTATTGGATAGATTTGTACACACATTCATTTACCATTCAGGATTCATTGCTTAAGTGATTCCTAATCCTTTCATTTGGCGTCATCCATGTCAAAATTTCTATTGGTCCATTATTTAGTTTTGACCAGATACCTGTAGTTCCCAGGGTCCTCGCTGTAAGTGAATGGTTATTCAAATGTGATTCTAATTGTTGAAATGGATTAAGCCTCTTTGGTAATACCAGTCTGAAGTCAGGGAAACAGTCTATCCTGCACATTTGAGGCATCATGTTTGAAGTCGTGGATCAAAGGCCTTAAGATGTATTTGGAACATTTGGACATTTGATGTAGGGAAAAAAGCAAGGATGAGGACATACAAATGTTTCTCAGTCATTTGTCTTATTATGAGGACATTTAACTGCGGAATATAGGAACCTGCAAACATACGCTTGAGTGCTACATAGCACGCTAAAATCTGAAAATGCACTGCATTGTGATACTGTTTCGGCACATCTGTGGGAATTCTGTGTTGAACAAGAACATTCATAAAAACAATTTTGAAAAGAAAATGGGAAACGTTGTAACATATAATGCTAAACTTAAGAATGTTAGAATCCTTATCAGCTATTAGCATGCTGACATTAGCATTTTCCTAACTTCACCACTGTGCCTAAGTACAGATCTGTTAGCAAGGCAGTAGCGTTTGCTTAAAGCAGGCTAATATGTCCTCAATGAAATCTTAATTCCTCTGTAGTATTCTTATATCTCAGACAATACCAAGTAGTGAGAGATAGAGGAAGAAAGAAAATGTCAAAGCCTTCTATGCTGTAGGCTTAGCGGTTGTATTTAAAAGAACAGGAAGCAACTCTTGGGTTTCATGTTTCAAGGAATTTACATTGCTCTTTTTTACCAAAAACCTTTATTCAAAACCACACCATGATCCAAAGCATAACAAAACAAAAAAGAGTGCTATGTTAAATTGCAATGTCTTTACTATGTAAAAGTGTACGACTTTAAAAGGCACTGTGGTCCCTTGCCAGTCAGGTATAGAGCTTGTAGAGACTTGGCACAGCCTAGCAACAGGAACAACTCCATTAATCGCACTCTCGTACAGAAGTTGTATAACCATGGTCAATTAAACTATAAACATCCTTTCATTTATTACATGTACAGTAAAGCCATCATGGAATGCATCATCACTTCTGGCACGCTCCTTCAACACACTATACATGCGGAACATAAGTCTCCGATAAAGACATGTAACATTTACCATTCTCATGCACACTAAATCCTGTAATTTAGATAAGGCATTGTCTAATGTTGCTGACCACTATGATTCAAAAACAAACCTCTGACCCTCTCTTCATTTCGGGTCTTGGTTGAGGTGAATATGGTAAATAGTTTACTTATAGATATCACCATGAAACTTACCTAATTTTGATGGAACACCCCTAAAAGATATGTCTTGTACATTTACATACATTTTGCAACATTTTGAAAGTCCCCAAGTTGATTACTTACATTGTTCTGAAATGTAATTAGCAAATATGCAAATGAGTAGGGGGTCATAGAACCATAGACTGTATATATAAAGGGCAGAACAAATAGATATAGTTACATGCCACCTTAACCCTCTTTTACCAAATTGAAAAAGAGTCTTATCTATCCACACAGAGAGATGGCTGCTATTCAAGCATGCACTGGGCAAAAGGTCAATAGTTTAGCACACTGATAGAAACAAGTGGCATCCACACAACAGTCTTTTAAAGCATGCTGAGCTTATGCAACCCCAATGCAATCTGTTGAAGGTACAGCACGCTGAAGGAGCCAGCCTGTGAGTTTGGGAGATCCTTTCACCTGGCAACACCCAGCTGTGCCACTAATCCTCTGGTTTGAAAGAGGAACAGGCACACACACTTGTTAATAGCCAGTATCGTCATGGTTTTCCAAGAAAGACACAAAGTTCTATGAAAATCAACTTCCCCTCCTTAACCAATACAAACATGCTTAGATGTCCTCTCTGTGGGTGAGTGGGAGTCCAATAACCAATATCACAATCAATGTCACCTCTTAATATGACACCAAACACTTCATTTTGCACAGAGCACTCTTAGGGTAGTTTACAATTTGCAGTACTTTATATTCATATATAGAGCTGTGGTGTAATTCAGTGTCAGAGCTTAAAGGGATATTCTGTTTTATAGTTAAGCTAACTTTTTCATCTATCAGAACCTGTGGAAGAAACATGGCGTATGTGAGGAGGCTGTGCTTTGCTGAGTTTTTATTAGCACGTCCTATATCAGCCGAGAGCAAGGCGGCAACATTTGCGAAATGAACACAGAGACCAGGATCAAATGAGAGACACAGGAAAGACCAGGGCAGGTGGGAGGGGAGGAGAAAGGATGAAAGAGAGGAGAAGGGGATAGCCGGCAAATCTGCACATCCGGAGAGTAATATGTCAAAGGAAACAAGAGTCATGCATGGGACTCTGTGTTCCTCTGTGTGGATTATTGAAAACAACAAGGTTAGATCCACTGTGTGACTGGGCACTATATCAAGATTAAGGGATAGTGGATCATCTAAAATTATCACAAATGTAAGAAATGTGTGTGCACTCCGTTGATGTGATTGTTCCCAACACACCTGTATTATTGGCTACATTGCATTTTTTTTTCAAGTGCCATGGGGTCTGCAGATGAGGTTTATAGAATTTAGTTTTGAGATTTAATATGAAAATATGACAAGTACGGAAGAATATTAGTGCCAGGCATTTGCTTTTTGAGAGTAAAGTTAAAATGATGAAAAATACATTCCTTAAATTCAGCTCCCCATTATGTCATTTTATTTGCAACTCTAGTTGTTCATAATTCTATGATACTTTTGTTTCCAATTTCTTTTTGACTTTATTTTGACCCTTCCGTGGCGGGAGGGAACTTTGAGACGTGGCCTTTAATGGTGAAACATATTTTGCCGAACAGTCGGAGCATGTGATGTGTTGTAATGTTTATGTGACAGTAGTAGAACACATTTTTTTTAAATACATCAATTTCTTCATTTGCTAAGAAATTGACCTTAACAAAATGAACACAAGGTTTTTGATTTATTATTGTTCAATCAATAATTTAATAGTCTGAGAACATGGTGATATGGGAGGTGTAATGTTTACCATGTTAACAATTTGCTTATCTGCTCTTAACACAGAGAAAAGCTTAGACGAATGGGAGCGTAAGTAGTTGAGAAGGTATTTGGTCATAAAACAAAGTGAAAAGTTAATAAGTATCCCTTCTTGCATATCTTTAATAGCCACCTTTAGATAAACAAACACAGCAGCATCTCACAGATTGAACACAATGTCCCTGAACTTAAAATATGATGCATGATGTAAAACAGTGATAGTGAGCTTTGTTGTAATTATTTAGATGGTTGCTCCATCGGAAATGTCCCAAAAAGGCATCTTACACGTGGAGAATGTTCACTAAAGTTACACTTTTAGTCCACAGTTCTCTTCATACAGCTGAAGTCCGCTCTCGTTTGGACCTCCCAGTATCATTCCTGCTAGAGTCTCCATAGTCACTGATGGAGGGGAACCCAACCCTCTGCTCCATCCATTGGGCCACACTGAGCAGCTTCCAGTCTTGGAGGGCGGGGCCTATGAGCTGTAAACCAATGGGAAGGCCCCGTCTTGATAAAGCAGTTGGCAAAGAAACAGCAGGGAGACCTGGGGTGAAGAAAGAGGTTAGCTTGTAGCGTGATAAAAGGCGGAACATAATTTAAACTCACTCAAAGGTACACTTAATGTGTGTTTACCTATGGTTTCAGATAATAACAAAGAAAAGAGAGAAGTGAAATACTCCTTTGCCCTTTTAAAGGGGGCCTATTATACTAATTTACAGGTTAATTTTTTCCTTTTGCACCTCTACTGTGACATGTTTACTTCCTTTAATGTTCAAAAAGCTTTTGTTTTGTCATACTGCCTGTTTTCTCTTTTCTCCCTCTGCCTGAAATCAAAACCCAGTCTGCTCTGATTGGTTAGCTGGCTGGCTCTGTTTTGATTGGTCAACCGCCTAAAGATGTTCAGCCTACCGTTATCATGTACATTGTGTTGGAGGTACATAGTTACATTGTGATGGTGTTTCAGGCCCAAAAACCTATACTGTATAACACTACAGGAAAGGGGAAACCCCAAAAAGCACAATAGGGCCAATTTGAACTTCCCTATAAATGATGTGGTTATAATTTATGAGATTAACTAAACTGAAGTGGGTTTTATAGAGAAAAAAAGTTTTTCGGTGTGTGGGAGTATCCATGAATGCATCCTCCCACACTTCCTATGCGTGCTTGAACAGTTCTTCCTGAAGGCCTTGCTGCCTACCTGCCATGTTGACAGGCTGGGTAAAGACGTCTTCCTGCGTGCTGCGTGTGCGGTTGTCTTCCTGTGTGAAGTCGGAGTAGCGGGCCGCATCAGTCAGAGTGGTGGGCGTCAGCAGCACGTCGACACCAGAGCTGAAGACATGCTTAAAGTCTTCTGCGATCAGCCGCCGCACTTGCTGAGCCTTCACAAAGTAGTGCTCGTAGTTCCTGGCAAAATGAGAGTGAGGAGGAGGGAGACAGTTAGTTCTTGATGTTTCAGAAACATTACAGCTCCAGCATACAATATGAAAAAGAGGCCAAAGAGAAAAAGGTTCAATAAAGTTGCAACTTTTGTACACTGCCTTACTGTTTGAGCAGGAAGTAGTTCCCAGACAGTATCCTTCCTCTCACTACGTCGTTGAAGCCCTCATGTCGGCTCGAGGCGTACATGGCCTCCGTCGAGCTATCCATCTCGCTGCGATGGCCTGAAAGGAGAGCCATTTCATAATGTTAGATAGTCAAAGAGATTCCCTGTGTAATCTGAAAGTTAGGTGGCAACTATAGTAGATGTATCTTATTCTAAGTGGGATATAGTAAATTACTATTACATTCAGACAATTCTTTAATTGTCACTTTGTTTTGAAGATACTGGCATGAGATTTGCTTTGGTTTTTCAAAATAAAAGCAACCTTTCAATGAACATAATAGGATATTTTACATTCATTATAAAAGTCAGTCAGTGTATTTTATATAATTAATAAAAGAAATAAAAAACCACAAGGAATAGAAATGAAATAATAAATGAATGTATATAAATGAATACACATTTTAAAACCTTGCTCTACAAACTATACTTCAGAGAGAAACAATTGAATTGTCTTTAATAATTTGTCTAACTTAATAACAGATACCACCATAAGGACTGTTTAGATTCATTTACTATCACACTTGTAATGATCAAAAGCATTGAAGGGTAGCACAGTATAAACAGTTGGAAGAAAGAAGATATTGCAGCAATACCTAAAAAAGTTGAGATATGATCTATATGCCATTTCCCCAAGCACCGGTGCACAAAGCACAGTTTATATATTGTACTCGGGTTCATACCGTATTCTAGGCCGTCGAAGCGGGCCATGTTAGACGCCACCTCAGTGGTACACAGGACGTGGTAGCACACGATGGAGTACTGGGTGTGGGGGAGAGATACTTGCTTCACCCGCGCCCCCGCCCTCTCAAACATGTCAGCAACACGACTCCACTGTGCTACAGTCTCCTCAGACAGCCCGGGGGCGTGGTACTCCTGACATACGTGAAGAGACAGGAGAGAAAAGCAGCTTCAGAAAATCCATGCATTTGTGTTAACAGATAATTTTTAACCACTTACAAATATCTTAAGCCACACATACAGTTCAAAGAATCTGTCTTGATGATAATGCTGCTAAGACTCATACAGGTCATGGCTTACCTCTAGGTCTAGGTCTTTGTTCATTCTAAGGAGAAGATGATTTTAATACGGAGCTAAACTCACCTTAGGAATGCCGACACAGAGGTTCTTGACATCAAATTGTTCTGGTAGCTCTGTCAGTGACGAGGGGGCAGGAATTGTTGTTGAGTCTTTAATATCAAGGCCTTGGAGGATTCCTGTGTGACATGGTAAAACCAAGGTTAGGTTAATCATTAGATCGCAGTATGAAAAAGAACAACAATGCTGAGGTGCTATATTGGTTTATTTGCAATGTCACATATTATTTATATTACATGGTTAGAAGAACTGGAAATGTGGAATCACCATCTTTAAGAGCAAGACATCTTTTTATGTACAGTAGGCCTGGATGAGGTTCATCAAAATGTTCCTACCTAAGACGATGGCTGCGTCGCTCACACTGCGGGTGATGATACCGGGGACGTCCATGGAGTTGACCAGGGGGATGAGACCGTGTCTGGACAGCAGACCATAGGTGGGCTTCAGGGCTACAACACCACACAGTGCCCCAGGGTTACGAGTAGAACCACCTGTGTCTGAACCCAATGCCCTGTACAGTAAAAGTTCATTGTATTCAGATGTTGAACTTGTTTTCTTTGTAACAGTTATGCAACTCGTAAATATGTTCCCTCACAGGTAGCTGGTGAGTGAGGCCACAGCTGCAGCACTTCCTCCTGAACTTCCTCCTGTGATGACCCAGTCAGAGTCTGGTGTTGCCTCTGTCTGCTCTCTGTAGGACGCAGAATAGCTCCAGGGGTTCCTCACCGGACCGAAAGCCCCGTCAGTACTTCCCGCACTGTAAGACAAAGAAACCAATCGATAAATAATTAGGAAAACTGCCAACCAGTTATCAAAAATGTCTTTTTCTGTATGTGTAAAAATCCGTAAAACAGCTTCATCAAGCTATTTATAAAATAATATGGTGTTTGGAAATATCCATTACTGACAGTGAGTACTGAGCCATTGATAACAATGCCCTTACCCCATAGCAAACTCATCCATGTTGACTTTCCCCATGAGAACAGCCCCTTGGTCAAAAAGTTTCTGGACCACTGTAGCATTGAAGGGTGGAGTGTAGTCTGAAGCACAGGTAACATAATGTTATTTTTCGGGAAAAATGAGGCATAGGCATGTATTAAATCATACTATTATACTATCCAAACTTGGAATAAGTCAATTAAGTCTGTAGTGTGTTTCTTACTACATAAGCAAGAATGTATGGGTATGAGACCTTAGCCTGCTGCACATACTCAATAGCCCCACAATGTATTGCGTCTTGGCCATCAGTCATGTGATATTTTGAGCAAGGCTAATAGCTTTCACTTTATTACATTTTGATATGTTCAGGCAATAAAGTAAAAATGTATATTCCCAGAATGTTGCCTTTTTTTAATCTAAATAACACCTGTTATTTAGATACCTGAAGTTTGGAGCACTATTATTGGAGATGTGACAGATCCACTTGAGTATACTACAGTTTGAATAGTCTGCTGGTTCAATAATACCAATAGTTGTTAATTTAGTATTTAGTATTCAGTGCATTTGAATTAAGTATATAGTGTGCAATATGCAGAAGGTTTAGGATGCACAGACCTTTAAGCATCCTGGATGCACATGTAGTCTTGATATTTTCTGTGCAGAAGTTATCCTTGACTGCAAAAGGGATTCCATCCAGAGGACCTCTGGGGGTACCTGAAGGAAAAACAAGATCTGTGACCCCAATGCCTTCACTAAGAATGTGTAGAAATGCACGCTCGTGTTTCCACACCTTGCAGCAGTCTAGTTTCTGCTTCTTGAGCCTGCTTCAGCGCCAGCTCCTCCGTCACAGTGATGTAGGCATTAAGATGTTGTGTTTTCTTAATGCGGTTCAGACACTTCCTACAAAGCTCTGTTGGGGAGATTCTTCCCTCCCTGAGCGCCAAAGACACCTGGAGAACAATGATGAAGAACAAGTTATGGAATGTGACTAATTTTAATTAATTTACCATTTTGAAAATAAACACTTTGGGTTGTCAGCTTAGGAATAGCACATTATAGCTCCATTCTATTCAGGTGTCCAAAATTACAAAACAAAGGAACATAATTATGATGTTACCCAATATTTATTTGAAAAGCCTCACCTTGAAACGTTGAATGTTAAGGTTTATATATTAGTTATAACCCAATCATATATTAATAATAAATAACAATCTGAAACCGACACTTTTCAGTTCAGGGCTGCAGATAAAGATATTTCTTGACAAACTGTATAAAATCAAGACAGGTGTTTATACATTCTTAAGTTAATACATTCATACAATGTTGTAAGGACCAACAATATGTTTAGGCATTCATAAAGCACATTTTCACACATTGTACATTGTTTCACTTCAAGCTGGTTTGATTTGACAGTACACAACGACCAATATGTAATTAACTGTTAAATGCTCTAAACAGACATGGAGAACAGTGAATAGTCGTACTAACCTCCCTTATTGTCAGGCTGAGCATTTTTATAGTATTTGTATAGCAACCTTTCAAAAATAATTAACAACCTTCGTACAGTGTGGAGCCCATGCAGGCTGCCATGTTTGTTTGACCAATAAACCTCTAACAACGCTTTCTGTGATTGGACAGCTGTTGAGGAAGGCGCTCTCTGATTGGTGGAGAGGCTTTGTAAGACACCGGTAGTAGAAGTGGCATGTTAAGGAAAGAAGAGGACGTTGGTTTGAATTAATCACAAACGTTGTAAATATTGCTTATATGGAAATGGCTTGACATGTTTATTAAAGAAGGAAATGTTCATATTTAGTTGGCTTGTAAAGGACTTAAATAACGTTACGTGGGTTACTGAAATTTAGCATAGTAGCCTACCGCTAACGCTACAGCTAGAGTGGATCCTGTATGTAACAGGGAGGTAATTATAGCTGCACTATTTTATTTAATATTTAAGAGTTTAAAATGAGTTATGTGAGACACTTAATGTACAGTAGGTGGTTGTTTCACTGCAGTACATCACCGAGTGTGAACACATCAGTTTGCTGGCATGGCAGGCAGAAAAGACTGTTCAGTACTACCAAAAGAAGGATGACTATTATGCCTGCCTGGGTTATTGATAAATATGGAGGCAATGATGTTTTGCGGTTCACTAAAAATGCCAGTTTCCCCGTCATCACATACCCCAATGAGGTTATTATCAAAGTGAATGCAGCAGGACTGAACCCTATTGATGTCGGCATGAGAGGTGAGTGACAGCATGTGTGCATCTTCACAATGGGAACAGATTTTAAGTGTTAGGATAATCACAATGATTTTTGTAACGTTTTTTGGAAGCAATACTTAAAAGTGAGGATACAGAGTGTGAGGTTGATGTTTCCTGTGGTTATGATGATAAAATGCATCATGCATCTCGTCATTCTTCTGCCACAAAGCTAGTGTCAGCAGTAAGGAGGTGGTGGTTTGGTGCAGGGCTGCAAAGAGAGGGGCAATGCAATAGCATTTTTTTGTGGGCGCTCTGTACAAATTAAAGTTTGAGAAGCTTCAGTGCATATTGGAAGGTGTTAATTGGTTGCTGTCTAATTTGCATGTGTTCAGTATAGGTATGACACTTTTCTTACCTGATATCTGTCTTAGCTGCCAAAGCACATTTTCTTTATTTGCATATTCAGTAACAAAAAACTAAATCCTAGACTTTTTTGATACTGTAGCCAAACTCAAAAACAAACCTCCACTTGTTATTATCTAAGAGGTTTATGGCCACAAGTGAAAATTAATTTGAGATCTCTGAGAAACTTTTTGAATCCTTTAAAACTAAATTAACTTTGGTCAGATCTCAAAAATGTTTTTCACTTGTGGCCCTTAACCTCTTCCGTAATTATGCTATGGCCAATGATATGTATATAATCGGCAGGTTTATATTGAAAATAATTCTTAGTTGAAATTAATTTGATAAAATAATCAGTTTAACACATTTGTTAGCAGCTGCTCAAACTGAATAATCACCTTCTTTTAGTTTCCTTGTTAGTTACATTAAGCAACCAAAAGGTCAACATTTCAACATCAAGTTTTCTTTCAAACTTTGTGATGTTGTTCCAGTGAATGTTCTCAAAATGGTCTCTAATCAGAAACTCTCCCTGGCAGGTGGTTATGGTGCTTCAAGCCTGTCCATGAAGAGAGACCCTCTGAATTTGAATCAGAATGGTATGGAGTTCCCTCTCATCCTGGGAAGAGACATGTCTGGGGTCATCATGGAGTGCGGCCTGGATGTGAAGTACTTCACAGAAAAGGACGAGGTAAATGAGGGAGATGTGACCACCTGATACACAGGCACACAGTGAGTCATGTATGAATAAAGTATGAGGTAGGGTTGTAGTCATGATGCTGTAAACAAAAACATGTAGCTGCCTTAATAGTGAACAAAAACACCTTGCTTAAACACAGATGATGAATCCTGAAATCGGAGGAAGTTACAAAATGGGGCCAGCAGCTGGTGGTGTGATAGTGTGAGGCTGTTTTCAAGCAGAGCATCATCATCATCACATTGGAATAACTTACTTCATGCTCTCCTGGCCGCAGTGAACTCTGTCGCAACGATCCTTCTACCCACATTATGCACATGACATGACTCGCATCTCAGCCCTTTGCAGTACAAGAGGGTTGTGCAGGAAGATCAGATACTATTTGTCTTATTTAACCAGAGTTGCTAACTGATGGATAACACTGATGATATTATTAAGGAGGATATGCTTACTTTCAGTCCTTTATTTTTCTCATACTGTCTGTGCTGCAGCACCTCTTTTCACCCTCTGTCTGAAACCAGATCCCAGTCTGCTCTGATTGGTTAGCTGGCCGGCTCTGTTGTGATTGATCAACCACTTAGTGATGCCCCGGGCCTTAGCCTATCACGTAGAATGTGTTGGAGGACGCTAGCCAATAGAAGCACAGGTGTTAGCTAGTGATGTTATTAATTTACAGATGTAAACAAAGACGTTTCAGTCCCGGGGGGTGTGGGAGAGACACTCCCTCTGGAGGGAACTTTGGGATTTTAGCCTTTGCAGACCATTTACATGCACACAAACCTATAGCACACTACAGGAGAGGGAAACAAAGCATAATAGGGCCCCTTTAAGAAGCAACGCATTGTAGAGTTAAAACTAAATCATTTTTTGATAAATCAATTGGAATCAAACTAAAATGCCTTAATTAATTGTTTAGCAAAAATATTTCAAAGGAATACTTTACATAAAAAATGACCATTTGTATATCAAATACCCAACCTTTTCTACCATGTCTCTATGGTTAAAGGAAAAAATCTGCAAAAAAGATAAATGTATAAAATTAAACCAAACATTAATTGCACATCATATTTTTTTTTTTACTTTAGTTAATTATTTATATTTTCAACAGTTCTTTTTGTTCAAACATCTTATTTTTATAATTATTTGTATTTATTTAGTGGTTATGATATAGATTGTACATTATTTGAAATGATTTTGATGTTTGTGTTATGAGTAGTTTGAGCACTTCCTGAAGTCACATTCTGCTTTCTGTGACCTACATATGATATGTGCTACTTTTAATTTGATACTCATCTTACCAAAGAAGAACTAACTAAAGAAATGCAGACGCGCATTTGTTAATGTCAATTGAATGGGTGTCATGTCGCTGTGTGTTTCCTTCAGGTGTGGGCAGCCATCCCTCCATGGAAGCAGGGCAGCCTGGCTGAGTTTGTGGTGCTGAGTGCCAACGAGGTATACTTCATCAATGTTGTTGGTGCAAATCTATCTTGGTGAGAGATCACAATGCCTCGGGTATCAGTTCTGGGTTAGGAGTTTACTCTTTTCTTTGTGGTTTGTGTCAGTCGCCCAGCAACAGTTTCAACACCCTCATACGAAAAATGTATTGATTTTTCCTTTTAAATTGATTAACCCATATTTGAGGTATTTACATGCACTAAAACCTTTAACACAATACAGTAAGGGGAAACTCAAGAAAGCATAAAAGGGCCCCTTTTAAATGTGATGATCTGGTAAATACTGTGCGTTGGTGAAGGCTTTCAGATGCTATTTCATAATGACTCAGCACGTGTACTGCTGAAAGGTGATACCCTTTATTACTGCTTTTATTATTTAGAGATGCAAAATATGAATTTTCTTTTTGAGCCGATACCAATTAATGATAATTAGCTGCTTCTCATTGGAAGTACCAAACTCATGCTGCCTCTGAAACTGTAAAACAGTCCACACTGTTTGCTCGTAAATATGCTGAACTTGTAGCGTATATTTGTGTAATGCAAACCATCTTTGAAGGTGCATACCCCCCCCCCCCGTACAGTATTGGACTGTTAGGGATTCTGCACACGTCAATGAAAGCATTGTGGCTTTATATTACTGGCTATATTTAATTGAATTATCGGAATAATACATGATAATATAGATTTCCCATTATCTGCCAGATACATTTTGTGAATCCCTAACTCTTGTCTGTTGTGTTCAGATATCCCGCAAACCAAAGTTACTGAGCCACAGAGAGGCAGCAGCCATTCCCTATGTGGCAGCGACGTCCTGGTCTGCACTGGTCAACACGGGGGGGCTCAGCAAGGACAACTGTGCCAAGAAGCGGTGAGGGAGACACACTCACAATGTCCACTCGCTGTTAATCCCTGTCCGCCCCAAAGAAGCTCTCTGTCTTTGATCTGAATCATTATTCCTCTCAGCGCTCCTCCTAAGCTCCCTCGCTCCGTAACGAGCCTCCAGGTGACGAGCCATTGTTCTCCGGCAGCGGCTCACTGCTGCGAACTTGACACGATGAAGCCCTGAAGTCTGTTTGACATTGTTGAATGTGTGCTTTTCCTCTTCCCCGCAGGATATTGATCCTTGGAGGATCCGGGGGAGTCGGAACATTTGCTATACAGGTGAGGAGGAGGAGGAGGCTGATAGCGGAGATGTGAAGTGGACTCATATCCTGGGAGATATTACACTTAAAATCATATGCAAAATTATTTTTTTTACTTTATTGACTTGACATTTTATTAGGCACTGGTTTTAATATGACTTCTTTATACACTTTATTTTTTTACTCTTCTTCTTTTTTTATGAATATTATATTAATCTTAGGTGAACTTAATTTATCTTACTCCTATTGTTATTTTATTTTTGCGCTGATATTGTTTCCCATACACTACTCTATTGTGTTTTTTTATTCCTATATTGTTGTATTTCTTGAGCAATCTCTTTCCTTTGTAATCAAATAAAGTCCTGTCTTATCTTACCATACACAAATAATTCATTATGTAGCATTTTTTTAAGTGCCTCAAGCTCAAAACAGCCTGCACTAAATACAACCATATAATCATTCTCTGTGACAATAGCGTAAAAATAGACACTGATCATAAAATAAACAGGGGTGGAATTAAAAGTCTGCCTGGCCTGTCAGGTTTCAGACTGTGCCCCAAACCTTGCTTGGTGACCTGAATACTCTATCTCACTTTACACAGACGTTGATCTCATTAATTAAACATTGTGAGTCTCTCTCAAACACTGGCTAGCATTCTGCTCTCTACAGTAACCTAAACATGTATTTGTTTTTA